AGCTTCAGGAGGCAGCTGGCGCAGCTGCCATAGAGGTCTATCTGCCCTAACTTCCACTAGAGAATTTAGCAGCCCTTCTGCCACCAACTCTTTCCTCCTTCCTGCACTGGAAAGGCTCTTGCTGATCTCCAAGAGGAGGGAGATCCTTTCAGATGACTGACATTTCACAGGCCATTTGTTACTCTCCCATAGAGCACATTTTGCTGTCAAGGGTGTTATGAGGGGATTCAAGGACTCAGTAACAGGTACTGCCCTGATCCTCCTGAACCCTGTGAATTCCATACCAGAGGCTTAGAGCCTCGGTGAAAAAGGATTTTCTTGGCTTATAGGGCATAGAGGAAACCTTCAGCGGGTACAGCAGCCATCAGCATCAGGGTGGGTAACAGGACGGGGGAATGGGGAATGCCCTTGGGCTGCTGTAGAGCCACACCTACAGAAATCTTTGTGTCACAAATACCGTGCAGGGGTTAACAGCCAATTTTACTGTGCAGGTGGAGGGGGGTCAGGGCCAGCACTTGGTGGTGGTGGCACACATCAGGTCCTGCGTCCTCTGGGCTGGCCGTATGGATTTGGGGCCTGATGCTGCAAGCGGCTGCGTTCCCGCAGCCTCAGGGGCCCCAGGGGGCTGGAGTGGCTGTTGCCCTCCTGGGCAGGAGAGCTGCAGGAGGCCCCTGGTGCCACTGGGCTGCGGGAGCTGTGGCCCCTGAGCCCTGAGGTGACGCTGGAGGCTGCAAGGGGAAGCAGGAAGGTCAAGAGCATGATCCCCAAGGCTTGGGCAGGACAGGCCAGAGCGGGCCAGCAGACATCCTGGGTCAGAGACTGCCAAGCCCACCGCGGGCGCACGCTGCCCAGCCAAGGATGCTTGGTTGCTTTGCCATTTACCAGTGCTTGGGCCAACACAGCTGTTGCACTCCCAGCTGGTTGTGCTGTTCCTCAAGTTGGAGCAGAACCTGTGGGTACCCTCAGCAGCGCAGGAGCTGCACAGGAGCAGTTGCCAGGGCCTAGGGAAGCGAATGGGTTGATGGCTGTGAGGACAAAGTGACAGCAGCATGAGATTGTCCAGCAGAGCTCCTGTTCTCAAGCCTTCTGCTTTGAGCCCTTGGCGAGGCAGGGATCCCGTGCAGGGCCCTGGGGTGCAGCTTTGGCAACTTACCCCTCTTCCTCCAGCTGCTCCCTGCCTCCTGGGCAAAGGCACTCACTGGCGTTGCAGTGGCTGTGCCTTGCAGACAGTTCTGAGAATGCCTGGTGGTCCAATGACGGCAGCCTGATGGAGAAAGGAATATTGATTGATGCCGTGCTGCCCCAGCCTAAGGCAGATCCAGGGCATCTCTCCTCTTCCCCCACTGCCCTGTTTCCAAATTCTCTATGAAATCTGAAGACCAGACTCAGAGGACAGCAGAAGGCCAGGACTGCTGCGACAGCCTTTGGCACAGGCACAGCACTTGCACCCTCCAGACTTGGGAGCTGAGAATTAAAAAAAGACAACCTCCTGGGGATTCGGATCCCCATGGTGTGCATTTCCTGGCGAAATAGAACTTTATCTCTGCAGAGCGGGCACTGGAAACGCATAAAACCATCACTCATAGCCTGTCCCTGCAGGAGAAACAAGAGGAGCCTGAGTGAGGTGCTGGTGCTGCCAAGCACCTGTCGTGCCGTGGGGTGAGAGAAGGGCTCCTACCTGGATACAGTCCCTGTGGAACCAGGCATGTTTGCACACTGGGCACACCAGGGTTCTGTAGGACTGTCTGTCCCTCACAAGATCGAGGCAGATGAGGCAGCTGCTGGTGTCCCCTGGGTCTGCCTGCACTGCCTGCTGCGGGCGGTGCTCCCAGCAGAAGGCCCTGGAGGAAAAAAGGACAGGGATGAATGCTGAGCTCTTCACGGGTGGTGGAGAGCAGGGGAAAGGAGGTAAAAATACCTGTATGGGTGGAAGAACTGGGTGATGCACTCACCCTCCACGGAACAGGGCAGGTGGAAGCTGCGGTTGCAGCCCAACTCCTGGCAGGTGATGGAGGCCCCGCTCTTGCCACAGATGAAGCAGTGCTGGAAAGAGCACAGCAGCCTCAGGACCTCCACAGCCAGCTCTAGACCTCCAGGCAGGGCACGGGATGCGGCTGCTGCGAGGTCACATCCTGCAAGTCTGCCTGATGGAGGAGGGTCCTGTGCTGGAGCCTCTGTGAAGCTGCTGGGAGTCAGACTTTTGTCCCAGAGCTGGTTGGAAGGGCTGGGATTTCTTTCCTGGGGTCTGGGCTAAGCTCCTGCAAATGTCTCCTGGAACAAAGGTCCCTGGTTTTGTCAGGTTCTTACCTTCTGTGCTGCTTGCTCAATTGTCCGGTGAATATCTGTGGTGCGAAATCCTGTCCATTTAGATACCTTTACCCCCTTCTTATAGAGGTCATTGGCAAAAAGCTGCAGAAGAGAGGAGACAGATGAGGAGAGCGTGGCAGAGACTGCCTGTCAGAAAGCTGGAGGGAGCTCCTGGGCTAAACTCACCAGGCAAAAGCCATGGACCACGATGCCTCTATGCTCCACCCTGTTTGCACACCTAACTGGGTCATCCTCTGCCCGGTGACAGAGCATGCATCCTGGAGGGACAGAGCAAATG